GCAATCCGACACGACCGCAGAGAGATAGGCGCACTACCAACGGCTTTACGTGTTTTACAAGGCACGAGGGAGGGGTGAGGAAGGGGGGCATGCCAACTTCCTGACTCAAAACAGCTACTCAGAATTTCTCGACAGACAAACCGAATAACATATTGTTACGAGCTTATGGTTCGTGATGATAAAAACTGCCGATTGAATAACCAAAATTGACGCTTTAATTACTGAACACCAATTAAAACTTAAATCACACTAATAATTAATCACACTTAACACTTTACTTCACATTATTTCGCTTCGAACGCTTCGCTCGTATCGCTAATGCTCCGATCCCGGCTTTCAACGGCTTTATATAGGCTTTTTCCACCGAAACATCCAGAATATTCCAGCAAATACCGGCCCCGACCGACCAGGTGCAGAAAATTCGAGTGTGAAGCTTTATAGAAAGCTTAGTCCATTTAATACTAGATGGCGCTTTAGGTGGAAAGTTTAGGCATGGCATTTTCTATAAAGCTCCCCTCGCTCTGTTTCCCGACACTAGATGGCGCTAGTGCCAGATACCAGACATCAAGTTAGACGCGCAACAACATTTTGGCTTTGGCTTTAGGCCACCACTGGGACTGTGTAAAATCGAAGCATTTAGATAATATTCTAAAGTTATTCGTTGTCCTACTGGATCTTAACTAACAACATATTATGTCCTAAATATATTACAGAATAATTTTTAGTGCCAGTAGACCAAAGACTACTATCGTGAATTACTCATAACACTATTTAATGCTTATATTTAGTTGATCAAAGGAAATATTAGTAGCTTTGCTGGTATTTCGTATTGTATAAAAAGTTTAATAGATCTCTTCCATTAAAAAAAAGCATGTTTTAATCCTCACCCGAGGTAACCGCATTGAGGATTCTGATCTCTCTCTCTCTCTCCTATTATTTCTATCTCTTTGTGCGATGCTTTAAAGAATATATATTTTAACTGTTAAAATAAACGGTTAAAAAGAATTAACAGAGAATGATGCCCATTTTTCACCTGACTATGTATAGAAATGAAATAAATCTTAAAATTCAGCTAATTGAATTGTAAATTATGTACCCTTATCACAATGTTAAAAGAAACGCAGGAAAAATATTTTTTAATATTTATTTAAGCTTATTCTACGTCAAGGGTAAACGTATTACTATATTTTGAACGTATCTCAACTACCCTTTTTCTAGGACGTTCTATTTTACACACTGCTACTTTACTTTATTCAACTCTCTTTCTGAGTTTTATATATTATTTTTTGTTTTATTTAATCAGTAATTATTTCTTTACTGGTCTATATATATTATAGATTAATAAAAATAAAATAATAATTTAAATAATTTAATCAATCAGTACGTCATTGAGTGCGCACGAATGAAAAGGATTTTTTGACATTTGACAGTTCTGCAGTTGGCATCAGCGCAGTCCTTCGTTGATAATTAATAAATCATTCCACTTTAACATAGTGTTTTATTAGTTTTTCCCATTTTTACATCAGGTATGAATGTAAGTATATACCGTAAGTCCGTAAGTCAATGAAATGTGTTTGGTTGATAAGTGATCATTTTGACAATACAAGAAATAAGTTAGACTTTTTAGAGTTATAGAAACTATCTATCGTTTTTTTTTTTACTAAAAATGTACTTAGGAAGTATCTACGTGTGCTGGAGAAATAGCAGATAGTGCTCGACACTCAATTTATAGTGACAATCATCGACAGTAAGCAGTGACTTAGGGGCAGTTGGTTTTAAGGAATTCACAAAGTAAAAAAGACGTTTTAGACCATAGCTAGGAAAGTATCATTATCTTAACTTCGAACGTTAATAATAAGTTCTAGCACATTTATTTCTTTATTAACTATTTTGTAACGGCAAATCCTAACCTAAAATGTGACATTAATATTTTTTTGGCTTCGTAGCGTTTAAATGGTAAAAATGACTATATGACATTATTTTTTAAACTTTCATGCAGTTTTATTATACTATTCCTTAAACTATACATAAACTTTCACTATCAGGTTTTTTAAATGAATGGAAAGTGGGCATGATTCTCTATGAAATAAATAAAGTTAACCATATTGAATAAAATTTTCATATCCAAATCATTAATAACAATCCACGATTTCATAGCTTACCGATTTATATTAAATTATTCATGTTTATGCCATCTAGCGCCTAACTTATGTACTACTTTGAGAGTTAATAAATTTTTGTTCGATGAAACGTCTTTACCTACAGAATGAAGTAGATTGCGCTATTACAAAGGAATTTTACACGAAAGAAAATATTATTTTGATTTATTACACTATAATTTAATTAACGACCCAAAATCGTGAAATTTGGCCAAAAAGTGGTCAGAATTAATCAAAAATGGTCATAAATGGTCATTAATTTTTAATAATTGGTCAATACTTTGACACTCACTACAGAGTCTAATATTCAAGGAAGTCCTTATGAATAACCTTGGAATTTTAAACTCTGTAGTATGGAGTGTAGAAGTAAGGAGTACCATCTCCCTTAGTAGAATATTTGAAAAAGTGGCCATCTGTAAGCAGTAAATAACAGTTCAAAAACTCTCCACAACAGCGCTGGAGTAGCTACTGGGATGAAATGAACTTAGCAGTTGTCGATGTTTAAAGTGTGCTGCTAAACTGCTCAGTAGCTCTAAAATCTATAATAATTTTATTTAGTAAATATAACCTCGAAAAAGTCGTCTATCCCACTAGTATTTTTCGGCACGTTCTTTAAAATTTAGCCCGTAGCTATAGTGGCGCCACCCTTATTTAACGGTTTTCTACGGGCACTTTTAATACACAGTCTGTACTCCTTACTTCTACACTCCATACTCTGTAGTTACTGTGAAAGTATTGACCCAATATTAATAATTACTGACAATTTACGACCATTTTATGACCAATTAGGAACACTTTTTTAAAGGCCAAATTTCATGATTTGGGCCATTGATTATAATGTACTACGTACTACGTACGTACTGTACTACGTACTACGTACGTAGTACATTATAACTCAATGATTTGGGCCGCTAATTAGATAAAACACCAAAAATAAGGTTTGTAACATTTATTGTCTATTAAATGAAACTTTTATGTCATATTTTATGCCACATTTGAGGTTGAAAATTATCATATTAAATAAATAACTTGCAATTTTTTTCAGACAACTAATGAATGGAAAGGATTGCAGGAAAAAAGATAGAGACAGGGCAAGTCTTTCTTTTGTCAGTTTAGTTTTATAAAAAGGTAAATTATAAAACTAAACCTAATAATTATAAAAAGGTATATTATTATTTGTATTAGATATAATGAAATACTTTTGTGCCAGTGCTATTAGGACTCCGCGATCCGTTAGGTATTGTGTTCAAAAAAACATTATATATTATTAGGTATATAAAAATAGTCAGCCTAACATGATTTCATTGTTTGCGTTACATAAAGATAGATATTTCGTATCAACGAAAACAAAAGAGAAAAACTTAATGTGAAGCTCTGAGCTGAGTAGAATAAGGGGCAGACAATGTGAACATTGTTATCCGATCGCTCGCTTGTATTTATGTTGCCCGATATTCCCAATAGCACGTTGTGTTCACAATAGATTTCTCTTTTAAAATAAAAATAGGATATCGTTTCATTAGTGTATTTCTAATAAGGTATTATAGTCATTATATATAATCCTGAAATATACCTACATAACTCAAAGGTGAATTAGTAATAGATTTAATGTTTACTAATATATTTTTCTCGTAGATTATCAGCGTAAAATAGCAACTTAAAACCGCTGTGTTTCGTATTGTGAGTGTTGAGAACCGGATGTCCTTTTTTTACTGGAAACGAGGCATTCCATCTTATTCCTCAGGCGTAGTAACACATCTGCATTTTGATTCTTAATGGAGGATAGATGTAGATGTCTATGGGTCACATTCACTTGCCACCAAATGACTGTGTGCGCGTTTGTCACCCTTATAGATAAAGAAAATGCGTCAAATGTATCGTCTGTAACATAAAAACAGTTTTATTTGAAGAAACTTCTAAACTGTTACGAAATACTTATCATTACGTAGGTTTAATATGACAAAATAGCCTTGGTTGCGTTCGGTTAAAAATATAATGGCGTAATTTTATGGGAAATGCCTACCACATTCTCATCTCACGCACATCAGTTTGTAACGACTAAAATCCAATGGTGTTCTACCTTCGCAGCGAATTGGCAGTCAAGGAAATGCTTTCGCAAAAATCCTCTGCATATTATCGAGAGAAGATAACTACTTCCGTTTTCACATCCTCAGGCGAGGCGTGCTTTCCAACACAGCCCCACCACCTCCACATCAGCGATGCGGCCCTTCGCAGAGGATAGGTACATCTGCTCGGTAGGCCCACTCAGAGCAGCCACCTCAGGCCAGCTGTATGGATTCCTCTTTGTTCACCCAGGGTTACCAAGTCACGGCTACCAATTAATAGCCGTGACTTGGTCACCCTGGGTGCCGCACAGATATTAGTGACGTTTATCAAAAATATGAAAATCTATAATATGGTTTTAGTTTAAGTACTAATGTATATGTTAACTGATTTAAACTGGGCTGCCTGCAATTATTGCAAAATTCTCATTATCTCTATAGTTCGACCAAAGAGATTTTTACATAATGTCATAACCAAATCGTAGACTAGTCATATCTTAAAGTAATAAATTTCGTGAAATAGTAGTAGTAATTTAACAATGTTTGTTGACCATGTCATAAAAAAATGTCCGAATCAATGAAAAGAGACCGTTTGACGATATTAAACTCAAATAACTAAACAATATTGCTATTTCATGATATTATGGTCATATCGTCAAATAGTTTTTCACCGCTAGCGGCGCTGATAGCGTATTTATAACACAAACAGAGTTTTTAGCAGAAGTTGTAATTTCATTAACGGTACGATAGTAACTATTGTAATTATTATATTCATTTTTGTTTAATCCTTCTAAAATGATGGTAATTGAAATTTTTCTATTTTAACAAATTTTTTATAATAATCTAACTATATAATTTATAATAATAAGGGAACAGATATTGCTGGAGATTACCATCCTCATCTTATATACGTAATCAGCAATTTGTCTGTGAATCAGGTCATCACAAGCAGACGTGCTGATAATTTCGAGTTATTTGTTTTCATCAGGTCACGTTGAACGTCGTGCAAGATCCTTTTTATTAAAGGTGTCCAGATTAAAATTCTTATCTACACCTTTTCACATATTTCTATATTAATATCTGACGTTCCGAGAGTTGATGAGGTAATACGAAAAGTGTTATATTTTGCATGGGGAAAGATATCAAGAGTATATAATCCATAAATATTGACAGATATACATATAATTAAAGTGTGTGGCTGCAATATTTCTGTAGCTGGCTTCTATTAGTACAGAAATAATAATTTTTGAAATGTTTGTCTGTCTGTCCAGGCTAATCTTCGGAACGGCTCAACTGATTGTGACGAAAGCTTACGAACAGACACAGAGTAATTTCGGGATGGGTCTGTTCTGCAGCTATTGTATTTCATAATAAATACTAGTATTTTTTAAAAGCGAAAAATTGATAAAATAAATGGCTTTTATACCTTAAGTCTATATAAGGCCATATTTCTTGGGATCCCATTCAGCCGAAACAGTGGCGGGTAGCTCATTAATTAATAAAGCTTATAACTTGTGACTCCGTGATCTATGTCTTACCTATCTTCGATTCTCAGAAAATAAAGAGCTTGAGAGAGAGAGAGAGAGAGAAGAGAAAATAAAAAGAGAAGAGATCTATATCTGAATATTCATGGATCAGCTGATATTAGACACAGTAATAGTTTTTTTTTCTTCACAAAATAACATAAACGAGCACGCAGTCTACTTCATGCTAAATGGTAGCGATGATAGCAATAATAGCATACAATAACAGCAACATAACATGTTTCATACGGTGAGTGTAGAATGTTCAAGTAATACATTAATAACCTTATTTAAATCACCGCTAATTTAGAACAATGTAAATCGTGTAATTTATAACAATGTAAATCGTGTAATTTATAACAATGTAATGAAATGCTTTCCTATTTATGACTGTTATAGATAAGGAAGAGCGGGGACTCCTGGCACAGGTTTTTTTTAAACTTACTAGGAGGACCCATCTACTATATTGTTTATGTATGTAATTTTAAGGAAATAAAGCACTATTATTATTATTATTATTATTATTATGTGTGGGGTATCTATATAGTTTTCTCATCTGGTTGGGATGTATAAATATATAATTATAAACGAAAATGAAAAGACAAATATACAAAAATATCAATAAAATAAAATAAATACGAAAATACATAAATAAATAAAAGCCCAACCAGATGGAAGCCCTCGGCAGAGGAGACCAAACGGCCGAGGGTTAGGGGGAAAGGGAAAGAAACCGGCGGACGATGCGGGCGGTATCGAGGAGCACCGCCTTCTGCATTTGAGCCTGGAGCGGTCCGCCACGTAGTCCCAGCCGCCTCAGATGACCCGAGAGGCTGACTGGGATTAGCCCGTTTGCAGAGACGACTACAGGAATAATTTCGGTCGGCAGACCACCCCACATGTCGGTCACCTCGTGAGCCAGGTCCAGATATTTTGTTTGCTTATCTGTTTCGGCTTTCACGAGGTTCTCGTCACACGGAATGGTAATGTCGACCAAAAATATCCTTGACTGTGCCCGGTCCATCAGCACAATATCAGGCTTATTCGCAAGAATAGTCCTGTCTGTGATGATGGCCCGGTCCCAATAGAGCCTGGCGCGATCATTTTCGAGCACGGCTTCCGGCAAGTACTTGTAATACGGCAACTTCCGATCCACGAAACCGTATTTCAGAGCGAGCTCTTGGTGTAGAATTCTGGCTACTAGGTTGTGCCTGTGCAAGTACTCAGAGTTAGAAAGCGCCGAACAACCGGAGATGACATGCCTAAGTGACTCACCGGGATGGCGACAAGCTCGACAGATGTCGATGGTGCCATCCTTTAGGATGTATCTCCGATAGTTGTTGGTCTTAATAACCTGATCCTGTATTGCACAGACAAAACCCTCGGTTTCCCCGAAGAGGTCACTAAAGCGTAGCCAGTGGAGAGAGGTTACCGTGTCTACGAAAGGCCCATGTAGAGACTTGTAGAACCTCCCGTGGAGCTCCTTCTCCTTCCATACGGTCTCCCGGTCGGAAATTGTCTGCACTGCCGGGTCTTGCCATTGCTCGTTGGCTAAGGATAGAGGGGTAAGTCCTTTATCACAAGAAATGACGTCCTTATAGAATGGATCATCCGATCTCGCCAGGAAGTAATTACGGAGGCTGCACACTTCGCGATTATGCATGGTGAGCGCGCTCAAGAAGCCACGCCCACCATGCTTTCGCGGCAAGTACAGCCTCATTACCGACGATCTCGGATGATGCATCCTATGGGACGTCATGGTAGTGCGGACTTTTCTATCCAGGGCGTTAAGTTCAGTCTGAGTCCACCTGAGTATGCCAAAGGTATACATGAGGACAGGCATGACCCAGCCGTTATATGCTTGTGTCTTATTCACACCGGACAAAAGGCTGTTAAGCACTTTGGTCAAGCGTGCATAAAACACGTCGCAAACTGACTGTTTCATACCAGCCTCATCGATACCAATGTTCTGTGACATACCCAGGTATCGGTATGTTTCAGCCTCGGAAAGGGTCCTTAAGTTGACGGGCATAGATAAGTCTATGCCCTCAGAGTTAGCAACCCTACCCCTCTCAACATGGAGGACCGCACACTTATCCGTCCCCAGCTCCATTCCAATGGAATTGCTAAATTCACAAGTGATGTTTAGCAGTTCCATAAGATGGGAGCGACTGGAGGCGAATAACTTGAGGTCATCCATATAGAAAAGGTGGGTCACTTTTGTCCCTCCTTTCCGTAGCTGAAATCCCCTCCCGGAGCCCTCCAGTAAGGTACTGAGAGGGTTCAGAGAGAGGCAGAACCATTTTGGACTCAGACAATCGCCCTGGAAGATACCCCTTCTTATCCTTATGTGGTTCTCCGCAGCCATCATCCGCTCGCCCAGATGACAAAGGATCGTACTCCACTGCCCCATACACTGCTCGAGGAAGTCTCTAACTGTACAGTCTATCTTGTACAGTTCGAGGACTCTCTTTAGCCATGTATGGGGCACCGAGTCGAATGCCTTTCTGTAGTCTATCCAGGCGGCGGAGAAGTTCCGACGGTTGCGTTTCACCACTTTGCCAATGACCGCGTCAATGAGGAGTGGTTCCTTGGTTCCACGACCGCCGCCCCGACATCCATTTTGAGCGCGCGACATCACCTGATTTGAGTCCAGGTGACGAGTGATTCTCGCGCTCAAAATGGATGTTAGTGTCTTATATAAGGTCGGTAGACATGTGATGGGGCGGTATTTGCTCGGGTCTGTGGTACTCTGGCCTTTAGGAACCAAATGGGTGATCCCAGTAGTGAAGAGGCTCGGGAGCGACTTCTGGTTGAGAACCTCTTGAAACTGTCGGGCGAGCACAGTGTGACACACCACGAACCCCTTCAGCCAGTAGTGATGCAGCCCGTCGAGTCCCGGACTTTTCCAGTTCGGGGCCCTACGGACCGCCTCAGCTACGTCATCCGGCGTTATGGTGACGGGGTCCATGGGCGTAATACCCGCACACTGACTCGCCACAACTTCCGTCCAAGGGCCCTCGTTGTGGTTTACGGGCTCTGACCACAGGCTGCGCCAGAACGCGACCGTGTCGGCCTGATTCGGTACTGGGCCCGTTCCACTTACCATTGGTCGCTCCAATGATTTATAGAGCCTCTTCTGATCACTCTGGAAGAGACGATTCTGGTTGAACCGTGTCGACCTCTCGGTATATCGCCGAATTCGCTTTCCCCAAGCAGCGATTCCCTGCTTCAGGTCGTCTATGCGCTCCGTCAGTTTTTGCATTATATCCGGCTGGGACAAACTAACATTTGTCCCAGCAAACGCCATCCTGACGGTGCGCACAATCCTTGGCCTGGTATTGCCTGACCTGAAGCATATCAGTCTGCCGATGAGGGCCCTAGCCTTTGCGATACGTTCTTCAATTCTTGTTCTCCAGGCTGGGATAGCACTACTTTGTCCAGTAGTGCGTCCAGCCGTGGAAAGTTTGGCGCCTATAATACGGCAGACTGCCAGTGCGGCGCCAAAGAGAATTGAGTCCGTCTCGCAAAGGTCCCGGCTGGCTTCCAAATAGGTCACCAGCATTGGGTTCAGAGCCCTCACGACAGCCCGATTCCGCTTGCTTAGGGCTATGCGGGGAAGTCGCGGTCGATTTTCGAGAGGCGTACTGCGCGTTTCCATAATCGCCTCTTCCAATGTACTCCTCATTTGCTCTATTTCTAGTTCCTGGGTGAATGTTCCATCATCATTTTAATCAGCAACCACTGGGGTATTCTCGGCGGCATCCACGTGTGCGGGTTGTTCTGCAACTTGTGGCACCGCACCCTCAGTCGTAGCGTTTTCATTTGATGAGGGAACAGCCTCACGTCGTAGCCGTTTGAGTTCGGCGCCATCAAATATATTTGAGCGTAAGATATACCGAACTCGGTCTGCCAGGTTTTGCTCGGTGACAGTAATAGATGGCTCCAGCTCAGTAAAAAGACGATGCATCCTAGCCCGATACGCGAAACCTCCAATTTCTCCCCCTTTCGCCCTAAAATACGCCCGCAATGCGTTTGAATTCATATTGACGGTCCATCGCATACGGCGTACTCCACCAGAGGCGGGTGCCGATTGCTGGGCCTGCGAAGACCCTGCCGACACCAAGCAAGCTGGTGGGGATGATGGATGCGAGGGGCTGCTGGGTGGTCGTGCAGCACCTCGCGCTCGGCTGGCGGTTCGCATGCCTTCGCGTCCAGCGCCAGCTCCAGACGCGCCCTGACGACCTCCAGGCAGCGGCCCTTTGCGCAATCTTCTATGTTCCATCATCCATACAGGGCGTCATTTAACGGGAGACGCCCAGACCCGGCGCCGTTTCATGGTGAGGCCATATGCACAAGCGGGCCCTTGCACCATCAATTTTTGCCGAGGCACGGCGCTCACACCTCTTGGCAAGGTGCTGACTGACTGCGCGGACGTAGCGGTTTTGTCACATAACCGTCACGTCAACGGGCGATGGGGTCGTCACTTCCCTACGCCAATTTATTTTATTATTATTATGTGTGGGGTATCTATATATGTAGTTTTCTCATCTGGTTGGGATGTATAAATATATAATTATAAACGAAAATGAAAAGATAAACATACAAAAATATCAATAAAATAAAATAAATATGAAAATACATAAATAAATAAAAGCCCAACCAGATGGAAGCCCTCGGCAGGGGAGACCAAACGGCCGAGGGTTAGGGGGAAAGGGAAAGAAACCGGCGGACGATGCGGGCGGTATCGAGGAGCACCGCCTTCTGCATTTGAGCCTGGAGCGGTCCGCCACGTAGTCCCAGCCGCCTCAGATGACCCGAGAGGCTGACTGGGATTAGCCCGTTTGCAGAGACGACTACAGGAATAATTTCGGTCGGCAGACTACCCCACATGTCGGTCACCTCGTGAGCCAGGTCCAGATATTTTGTTTGCTTATCTGTTTCGGCTTTCACGAGGTTCTCGTCACACGGAATGGTAATGTCGACCAAAAATATCCTTGACTGTGCCCGGTCCATCAGCACAATATCAGGCTTATTCGCAAGAATAGTCCTGTCTGTGATGATGGCCCGGTCCCAATAGAGCCTGGCGCGATCATTTTCGAGCACGGCTTCCGGCAAGTACTTGTAATACGGCAACTTCCGATCCACGAAACCGTATTTCAGAGCGAGCTCCTGGTGTAGAATTCTGGCTACTAGGTTGTGCCTGTGCAAGTACTCAGAGTTAGAAAGCGCCGAACAACCGGAGATGACATGCCTAAGTGACTCACCGGGATGGCGACAAGCTCGACAGATGTCGATGGTGCCATCCTTTAGGATGTATCTCCGATAGTTGTTGGTCTTAATAACCTGATCCTGTATTGCACAGACAAAACCCTCGGTTTCCCCGAAGAGGTCACCAAAGCGTAGCCAGTGGAGAGAGGTTACCGTGTCTACGAAAGGCCCATGTAGAGACTTGTAGAACCTCCCGTGGAGCTCCTTCTCCTTCCATACGGTCTCCCGGTCGGAAATTGTCTGCACTGCCGGGTCTTGCCATTGCTCGTTGGCTAAGGATAGAGGGGTAAGTCCTTTATCACAAGAAATGACGTCCTTATAGAATGGATCATCCGATCTCGCCAGGAAGTAATTACGGAGGCTGCACACTTCGCGATTATGCATGGTGAGCGCGCTCAAGAAGCCACGCCCACCATGCTTTCGCGGCAAGTACAGCCTCATTACCGACGATCTCGGATGATGCATCCTATGGGACGTCATGGTAGTGCGGACTTTTCTATCCAGGGCGTTAAGTTCAGTCTGAGTCCACCTGAGTATGCCAAAGGTATACATGAGGACAGGCATGACCCAGCCGTTATATGCTTGTGTCTTATTCACACCGGACAAAAGGCTGTTAAGCACTTTGGTCAAGCGTGCATAAAACACGTCGCAAACTGACTGTTTCATACCAGCCTCATCGATACCAATGTTCTGTGACATACCCAGGTATCGGTATGTTTCAGCCTCGGAAAGGGTCCTTAAGTTGACGGGCATAGATAAGTCTATGCCCTCAGAGTTAGCAACCCTACCCCTCTCAACATGGAGGACCGCACACTTATCCGTCCCCAGCTCCATTCCAATGGAATTGCTAAATTCACAAGTGATGTTTAGCAGTTCCATAAGATGGGAGCGACTGGAGGCGAATAACTTGAGGTCATCCATATAGAAAAGGTGGGTCACTTTTGTCCCTCCTTTCCGTAGCTGAAATCCCCTCCCGGAGCCCTCCAGTAAGGTACTGAGAGGGTTCAGAGAGAGGCAGAACCATTTTGGACTCAGACAATCGCCCTGGAAGATACCCCTTCTTATCCTTATGTGGTTCTCCGCAGCCATCATCCGCTCGCCCAGATGACAAAGGATCGTACTCCACTGCCCCATACACTGCTCGAGGAAGTCTCTAACTGTACAGTCTATCTTGTACAGTTCGAGGACTCTCTTTAGCCATGTATGGGGCACCGAGTCGAATGCCTTTCTGTAGTCTATCCAGGCGGCGGAGAAGTTCCGACGGTTGCGTTTCACAACTTTGCCAATGACCGCGTCAATGAGGAGTGGTTCCTTGGTTCCACAACCGCCGCCCCGACATCCATTTTGAGCGCGCGACATCACCTGATTTGAGTCCAGGTGACGAGTGATTCTCGCGCTCAAAATGGATGTTAGTGTCTTATATATGGTCGGTAGACATGTGATGGGGCGGTATTTGCTCGGGTCTGTGGTACTCTGGCCTTTAGGAACCAAATGGGTGATCCCAGTAGTGAAGAGGCTCGGGAGCGACTTCTGGTTGAGAACCTCTTGAAACTGTCGGGCGAGCACAGTGTGACACACCACGAACCCCTTCAGCCAGTAGTGATGCAGCCCGTCGAGTCCCGGACTTTTCCAGTTCGGGGCCCTACGGACCGCCTCAGCTACGTCATCCGGCGTTATGGTTACGGGGTCCATGGGCGTAATACCCGCACACTGACTCGCCACAACTTCCGTCCAAGGGCCCTCGTTGTGGTTTACGGGCTCTGACCACAGGCTGCGCCAGAATGCGACCGTGTCGGCCTGATTCGGTACTGGGCCCGTTCCACTTACCATTGGTCGCTCCAATGATTTATAGAGCCTCTTCTGATCACTCTGGAAGAGACGATTCTGGTTGAACCGTGTCGACCTCTCGGTATATCGCCGAATTCGCTTTCCCCAAGCAGCGATTCTCTGCTTCAGGTCGTCTATGCGCTCCGTCAGTTTTTGCATTATATCCGGCTGGGACAAACTAACATTTGTCCCAGCAAACGCCATCCTGACGGTGCGCACAATCCTTGGCCTGGTATTGCCTGACCTGAAGCATATCAGTCTGCCGATGAGGGCCCTAGCCTTTGCGATACGTTCTTCAATTCTTGTTCTCCAGGCTGGGATAGCACTACTTTGTCCAGTAGTGCGTCCAGCCGTGGAAAGTTTGGCGCCTATAATACGGCAGACTGCCAGTGCGGCGCCAAAGAGAATTGAGTCCGTCTCGCAAAGGTCCCGGCTGGCTTTGGCTTAATTTATTATTATTATTATTATTATTTATCACTAGTTTGGAAAAACCTCTGTCTTAGAAAGGACCAGCAAGAAACACAGAGGGACTTTTTTGACATGAATATAGAAAATAATATTTTATACGATTAAGTACGAAAACATTTGGAGACGGTATGGTAGCGATAACCTCATTCCCAGGGGGATATTAACCATTTATCCTGATAAAAAAACAATGCTATAATTTATAATTCATTAAAAAAGCGTAAATATAAGAAAACATTATTAAAACATGGTTAAATTTTTGAATATAATAGCTGTAAGTAAGTAAATTTCTTCTGAATCTGCGATAATAGCCTAAGGTTAATGGAGCGGACTCGACTCGGCCTAAACTCAGAAAGTCTTAGGTTCCATACATAAGCCATCATTCGACTACTGTCATGAACCACTGCACACTCCAACATAAACACCTAACTAAGCTTACTTGGGATGATCAATTTTACAAAAAACACGAGAAAAAATACTTGTTCCCTAAACTAATTCTAGTCTGGGATTTTTAATTCAAAACACACAACTATCAAACACAGACAAACGTACACACAGTTCAACTGATGGTACGAAATAAAGAAATACAGATGCATTGGTACCCCTGAGTACTAAGATGGAATACCTCGTATCCGGTAAAAAGGGTCTTCGAATCTCCACACTCACAATACGGCACACAGCAGCTTATTAGCAGCAGATAATTGAGATGGTATTTTACGCTGGTATTCTGTGAGAGAGTGGTCTCTCCCCGGTCGCGCCGAACCATTCGTACTACAGCCAAAATAAAGATGGCATGGTTCTACCACTTACAAAAAGCAGCCACCACTTTACCACTCTTTAACACATTTTTACCACTCACCTACTGTTACACTAAAACCTATAACACAATATACAACCATGGAGAATAGAATCATACTACGAAGTACTTAAAAAAATTATAAATATCGATTTTTTATCTCCGTCTTTTTATTTTCTTATCCAGTACCTGAGCGACCAGGTTCATCTTAGCGTTAATAAAGGAAGTTACTTTTACTCACGACTGACACCTATGTAAATAAACTTCGAAAGTAAAACATTTATCTAAATAAAAATTTACAT